ATGTGTAGATCATCTTGTGTCATTTTGTGTCTCTGATTATATTTTTCATCGAGTAATATGTCCTGTTTGTGGTCAGCAATATTAAGAACAACACATGAATGCCAGCAGTCAACCAGGGAAATAAGGATGGACTCTCCTGAGCATCTACAAAGGTTTACATGCTGCTCTGCCAAAGTGAAAATGCTCATTTTCAGGTACTATAAAAAGGGACTTTAAAGGCAGGGGACCGTCTTTTTTTATGTTTTAACTGTAATCTTACATATTACATCAGCAGAAACATTAATATCATTGATTTCTAACCCTACTGTAGATCTAAACAAGAAGTGTTCTTTTCAGTACAATTTTAGTGGTTTAAGCCTCGTTTAGGACTTATAAACCATTTCTTTGTAAACTAAGTCTAAAACTTGGCTCATTACATATCTGGAAAACAGCTCGTAGAGTGTTCACAGCAGAGTTCGTTTTCCAAAGTGCATGTAAATCCTAACTTGCAGAGATGAAACTGAGGCGAGCTGATGAGAAAGAAGTCAGTTAACCTCAGCTGCATCTCCTGTGTAATATTCAAAAAGGTATGACACAACTATTTACACATCATCAAGTAATGAAGTGGTGCTGACATAGGCTGGAGTACACTTCTCAGAGCTTTGGAACAACTTTAGATGAGGCTGATCCAAGGTCAGATGATAATTTAGGGCTTCTGCGTAGCTATAATAACGCTTAAGCAGATTTTGTGAAGCACACTCAACATTTTGGTAACATCTTTTTTTTTTTTGCATAATTCATCGACTGTCAACGCGTTCGAATGCAGACAAATGGCCACATCCTCCTGAGATTTTGGTAGTAAATCTACTCAGGTGTTCATCATTTAGATTGCCAATACAAGGACAAATGACTTGCCCGCCGAACTGCTACGTCAACCGATCAGCACCACTAGCATCATGCATCCTTCAGCAAATGTACAAGCACAGGGCACAGCAGAGAGTGCCTAAAGCTACAGTACTACAAGATCTTCTCTAGCAATAAGCAGGAGGATGGAGAAGTAGGAAAAAGAACAGAGATAAAGCCTGTCTTAGCATTATTACCACATGAAACACATTGCTGAGCTGGTGAGCAGGGTCAGTTTGGCTAATTGGCACAGATAAATACACAGCGTACAGCGAGAGGCCCAGTGGACTGGAAGTCAAAGAATATAACCCATTATGTTATGGAGGTTAATTTCCCCGCTGACCACATTTTGTACCACTCACTCCAGCTTTATAGGCTGACTATTATACAAACACCATATTTTATACACAAACAAGTAATTATGGTCAAAAAAATCAGTGCACATCTTCTTGGAGTTGCAAGACTTTCAGCTTTGGCCAGATTGGGAAGATGTTATTGAAAATGTGTACATTTTGTACACAGAAGCACAGTACATAGATAAGAAGTAAAGGGATTCAAATGTACAAAGCAAAACGTGGAAATGAGTATTTTACAAAAAAAGCAATGAAACATTGATAGTACCATTTTTCTCCAAGTAAAAAAATCTCTCAAACAAGGCATTTGGTCGATTAAAAAGCTAGCAAGGGTCAAATGATGACTAAAGTGTGACTAAATTATCCTTCAACCTTTACCTGAGTTGCTAATCATAGCAAAATATTACACCCAAGAATGCTTGATCAAATTAACCCCATCCACATATTTGCATTCATGTCAAACCCCCGACCCCTAAACACAACACTAAAACCCTTAGAATTGCTTTTGGAGAGTGTAAGCAGCTTCAAACTCATGTTGGATACATGAAACAGCAGCAGAACATACTCAGTTATTAGAGCAGAGTTTATAGAAAGCACGGTTAAAGTACTTGCTCTTTTCAGCCCCTATGAATGCTGTTTTATGATCCAAGCGTCACTTAAATTAACTACATACTATATGTCTCTGGGTCTTTTACAAGGAAAAGTGCACTAAATCATCAAAATGTTTTCTTTTTCTTTTTTTTTCAACAGAAGGAGTGATATTGCTGAGATGAACAAAACATGAACTGGGTTTTTAATGGAGCAGTACAACATCTGTTTGACAAGAAGCTTTAAAAATCGCTTCTTTTCATTTTACAGCGGTACAGAAAAAGTTCAGGTTCATAAAGTGATGTGAATGCAAGCTATTTTCAGTATTCGGAAGCATCAGACAACAAAAAAATAATTGAGTTGACTTTTAGGACCTACTGTGGCCTGTAGGTGTGAGTATGAATGTGCATATGTGAGCCTCGGTGCAGCGCTGCAGTGCTGAATTTGTTTCATTAAAGAGACACTAAATCAACACAGTGAGGGATGCCAAGACCTATCAGGCAAGATGGATAACCGAAACATCCACTGAAATCTTGTATTTGTGTGTGTCCACAGTTTGTGCATATGCATGTGTGTGCCCACACACATAATCTGCCACATAAACAGATTTGTACATCAGTGCACGGTTACAGGAACTTTATTCCTGTCTGTAAGTGTAGCAGCAAATTGTGGGTGGAGAAAATTGAGATTTTAATAAAAAAAAATAAATCCCTCTCAGTTATGACCTACTTTCACTCAAGTAATCTCGCCTGAAAAGCAGCTGGTAGAGCTCTGAGACCTCTAATTAAATTGGCTTTCCGGAGAAGTTCAGTAGATGTGAAGGAGGTGGACTCCTCAGCAAGGCCGGTCAGTCTGACGCCGCCACGAACCTTAAACATCAGAGTGGAGCTGAAAACAGGCGGGGGGTAACTGGAAGGGCTCCTATTACTATTTGCGAGAGGGATAAATGGTAGGTACGGGCCACATACTGTACGTTGGTTGAGATAATGATCTGGCACTTTGGCCTCAGTGCAGTACCTATCTCACATCGAGTGTGTACTGTTTGTGTCATGTGCAGGGGTGGTTCTTGCTTTCGCCGCAGTTAGCACTTTACAGAGTAGATAATACGATCCAGTCAGGTCCTCCAGGACCAGTGCTACCTTAGTTGTGCTACTAGACGTGTGCTTTCCGGCTTGCAAGGTCAGCAGCCAGACGGTCTGATAGTCGGAGGGCCACAGAGGACACATTCACACGGAGATGAAGAGCCAGGCATTGAATAAAGACTTCGAAATGTCGAGCACCAGGTGTTTGTACACAGAGACCCGTAAAAATGTTCCCTCCCACCTCGTGCCAAAGTCCATAACAATTGAGGTAGGGAAAATAATAAATTAACAAAAGCAGTATTCAAAAAAAAAAAAAACACAACTTGTAGAACTCAATAAGGTTTCAATGAGAGAAACTAAAGGGAAGCAAATCTGGAGTAAACAACAGGATGTAAAGTGGTGTAATTTTCCAGTGATGTCCAACTCAAAATCAGCAATAGTCTATTGAACACATAGTGTGATTGTCCAATGTGTTCAGAGTCACAACAGCCACAATGCTACTGAAACAGTCCTGACTGGAGGAGCAGAAGTTTGAGCTGTTAGTTTGCGACCCTCCTGGATTTAAATCCGGGTCACGGCTTGATTTTTCAAACATCAGATACGTGAACACGCATCTCTGAACAGATTCATGTAAAACCTTGGTGAACGAATTGAAGGACACTTTTTTTCCATTTAATACCAGGCTGTGGTAGTTTCCATGTCAGGAGAGAAATTGTTTTGCCTGGTGTCTCCACAGCCAGGCAGATGCAGTTTGTCTTTTCCAAGTAGCACCACATCTGAATGGCACTTTCAAATTGGCAGTAAAAAAAAAAAAATCTGAAAGGCAAATAGTTTTTTCTTTTCTTTCTTTCTTTCTTTCTTTCTTCCCTTCGACTACAGGTTTCACCTCAGCTCGGTCGTGTTGCATTGTGACAGAAAAAAAAGCCTCGATCACCTTGGAAACTGTAATTTCGGTGTCACCTTTCAGTGCTGGAAGTGAGCAGGTCACAGATCAGTGGCTGAAGTTGCATCAGGATGGCTGGCGGGAGGAACCGCAGCCACTTCGGTTCTCACCTCTTCCTCCACACCTTTGACAGCCAGATCTTCACTGTTTTGTCGCTGGAGAGGAGGAGGAGAGAGGGGTGGGATGATGAGCAGAGGAAAGCAAGAGGAACAACAACAAAGGGAGAATATAACAGAACATCAATCAGGCAGTCCTCCCTTTCAAAACAACTCATTGTACATCAGACACAACACAAAGACATTGACTTCAAAGTACACTACACGCACATACACACCCGCACTTCATTAAAGACCCCTCTCCAGTGTGTCAGTACAAAACACCTCTCCAACCTCGTGGAGAAGTTTAGAAGAATGGTCATAACTCTGCAACAAGTAAATCCAATCAACCTGCCCACAGTAACAGCATTACTCCCAACTGACCGCGCAATTTAATTTTCACATTTTCACTTTCTCACGCTGTTAGTCCACCTTGCACTGGTCAGCATCTTATTTTTTCATTAACACCAGCCAAAGATGTTGCACTCTGGTTTTTGTTTTTTGCCAAGAGGGAAACAACTTGCCCAAAAGTAAAGAAATCCACCCACCAGCACCATTCATCCTCAGTAATGAGCAAATTATCGGCTCATTTGCTTAATCCCTTAAAAAGACAAGTTGAGGTTTACTAGGGTTTATGTGCTGGACCAGAGAGTGCCAGGTGAGCTACCGAGCGGCTGCTGAAGTCGTGTATCGAAGCAACAGATTTGAGAGTGGTGTCGATTTGCACACACATAAAGAAACGACTGGTGTTCAGAGCAGAACTTTGAGTTGCTTGGTGCTTGCGGTCAGTGAGTCGCCCTTTGTCTCAGTGGGGACAGTTGGTTGGAGGTCTGCAAATGAACCATGATGAAAGTTTGAGGAAAAAATAAAAATAAAACAGCCGGCAAAATCAGCTAAACAGAGAAGCTTGTGGAAAGCAGAGCATAAAAATGAAAGGGGAGGATAGAAACAGAAAGATTAAAGCGCAGGTACCAACCAAGTGAAGAAAGTTCAAAACAGGAAAAGAAAAAAGGAAAACAAGGCGGAAACTAGTGAAGAGAGAGTACCAGAGGAGGGGAGGGTTGGTGAGCAGAGAAGAGGCAATCATGGGAGGCTGGTGGCTCGGCCCTTGATGGCCAGGACCCGTCGAGGAAGACACGGGGTCAAACCTGGCACATAGTTCCACAGCTTCACCCTGCAGTCGCTGTGGGGGGTCAACGGGGATGAGGGGATAGGGGAGGAAGAGGAGGGTGAAGAACAGGAGGAGAGGAGGAAGTCAAAGTTCAAGAGACCAAACACGAGAGAATATTCATCCACAGGAAAGATGACAGAAGAAGAGGAAGCAACAAGAGATGATTAGAGAAGTGATGAAACATCGAATGAAGGGAGGGAAGTAGAAGGAAGTTAGTGGACTTCAGCAAAACGCCCACCAGCTGGATTGGAAAAAAAAAAGAACTCCAGTAAACCGAGGACACGACAAAATGTCCCACTCAGACACAAACAAACACCTAAGTAAGAATTATATTTGTCTGATGCAGCTATGAGCTCAGCAAAAACACAGATTTGGACAAAAACAGGAAGTCGTTTGACCCTCTCTGAGCAACTCAAGGCTGACACATATCTTCTGATTGATGCTGGAGATGAGCCAGTGTTTCAATCAGGAAGCTTTAAAAGGTAGCTAAAATATAAAGCTTCTGTTCTTTGGCACTCAAACTCATACTGCAACTCTTGATACAGTTGGAATTATTCTCCAGTTTTTCTTATCGTCTAAAAAGGCCTCGATTAGCAAACATAACAGAAGGGAGTAAACAATGTACTTGTCGGGGGCTATTTTTAAGCAGCTGTGTTTGAGCAAGCAAGTATTGCAGGTATGTGTGATTGATTCAGAATAAACTAAAGTGCACATACTGATCATGATTCACAAGTTGAAGTTCATCAGTGTGTTTCTGGACAGTGAAACTCTATGGCAACAGGGACGAACCATGTCAGACTTTAACTAAGCCTGAAATAGTTTCAGTTCAGTTAATTCATGAGAATTGTAGACAGTGCAAAATATATGCAATGCTTCTAGTTTTACCTTTGTGATTAGATTAATGAAAACAGTATTTTAATCAGCTTGCAATTTAATTACAGGAATTTCTTTAACGTTCCAGATCGGTAACAATATTTAAAAACTGTTTTTTAATCTCGTCACTGCATCAGCAGTACACTGCATGGATAAAAAACAACGAACAAGTACTGTTTGACGAAGTCACAGTGCTGTAATAACAAACGATTTTAGATTATTTAAAGGTGGAGTATCGTACGTTTTTTTTGTTTGTTTTTTTTTTTAAATAAGTTTACCTGGACGCAGTGAAGATCTGCCTTGAGTTGGTGCATATGGCGTTAATGGGGCTCTCGTGGCCTCGGACCTCTCCGATGGGAGTAAAGTTTTCTACGTTCCACACCTTCAGCATGCCGCCCCGACAGCCGCTCAGCAGCATAGGTCGGCCCGGTACATATGCCAGAGCGCACACCCAGTCCTTGTGGGCGTTGGGGATTTGCTGTGGAGTCAACACAGAGAGACGTTAAGAGTCAAAGAAAGGTAACACACCCGACACTTACTTCCATACATAAAGAACAATCCAGTGGTTCAAGAGCAGTTGTGCAAAACAGTCATCTGGGTTTGTGCATTCTTTCAATAGAAGACAAGAAACATACATGTTCAATGTTCAGAGTTTTAATGGCTATAAACTACCTTCAGTAAACCAGGACATTTCTTGAATGGAAAGTGCACAACGTTGTTGCTAGGCAACATCTAAGTACAAGAACGGCTGAGACTCACTAAGAGACTCTATTTAGACTCAATACTCTGGTTATTCTTAGCTGGTGTGTCTGTGCACTCAATATTTTACAATGGCTTCAAACTGAATTCATGAACTAAGAATGGAATTATCTGCTCCGAGTTTGCAAATCCCATCAACATGAGGAAATAGCAAATAAAGGATAGAAGAATCTGAGCTGGCGGCTAGCATTTGTGGGTGATTTTAGTGTCAGGAGTGTTTTCATTGTATTCACTGAAAATGAAAAATAAGCTATTGTGAAGGTTAATTTGTCTTTTTTTATGCCTACTTTAAAATCAAATCTCTATATACAAGAGTTTGTATGCAAGTACATTTTAACAGCTTATTTCATTCCATCAGACTATCTGCTATCAGTCCAACACTTCTACAGTGCCAAAAAAAACAACAACTATAAAACAAAAACGTCACACAAATACCTTCTAAGTAGACATTGTGTGGTTTTCAATCACAAACTTTTATATGACTGTAAACTGTAGAGGTGAGATGTTAAATCTAATCTGTTCAGCTGCAACTGTTTTTCTTTTTCTTTTTTTCAGAGCAAATGTACAAAAGGCCATTAGGATATTATACACAGGGCTTTATCAAACTTTTATTATGCCTGCACATTGGCTTTTGCTTTTGTTGTTTTTTTTATTGTTCCGTTTATCTCAGCCAACTGGGCTGCACATTAATTTTGCTCTGAGCAGTGGTACACATGCAGAGGAATGATAATTTTTATTATGCTAATATACTTTTTCCTGTCGGGTTTTATTTGCAATTGTCAATATTTGTTGCCTTCATAGATTTTTCAGATTTTCTTTTGGCCTGAATAACACTACAAAGAAAGCTCCTTGGCTTGGGTTTGTTTCCAGCTATCTTTCTGGACTGTATCTCAAAGCAGTAAAGGATCCACAACCTAAAGTGCAGCATGTTTAATACTGCTTGGCTTTATCTGCAAAAAAGTAAACTGCTACTTAAATTGAGGTCATTTCATGTTAAAACAGAGCTCAAGGTCATCTTCTGTTGCATGTTTCTAAAACAATAGTCCAATCTGACAGTGACACTATCCAAATGGCTATAATTTGCTCAGTACCTTATAATCAAGTGCAGATATCATTTGCTTTGAATAAACAACAGTGTGTGTTTAAAAACAGCATAACTCAATAACTGTAGAAGAACTTCCTGGTGGCACAAATGGATTTGGACACAGGAGTGTTTAGGTATATCACTCACTAACAAGCAACAGGTAGAATGGACCTGTGAATCCATGCCGCTAATACAAAAGTCTGGTCTACTGCATCGGTGCATTATTCTATAGTGATTGTCTTTTTTTTTTTTTTTGTAATATTATTGGCATAACCAGATATCACAATACTTCAAAGAGCTTCACATGTTCTCAGTACAGTTTATGATGTCTGAGAAAACAAAGAAAGCCCCTAGAACACAGTTTCTCTACCTTGAACCTCCTGTCGGGTTAGTTCATAACAGCCACAAGGTTGCTGACCGTATCTGATCTGCAGCTACTGGCCTCCCTGACCTCCAAAGTGTTTACTGTTCTCGTATGCATTATGCGTCTATTTTATTTTACTGCTATCCTGTTCTCTTTACCCTCACCCTAACCAGTCAAGGCAGACGGCTGCCCTCCCTGAGCCTGGTTCTGCCGGAAGTTTATTTCTGGTAAAGGGGAGTTTTTTTTCTTCCCACTGTTGCCAACTCTAGCTAAAATGGAATTCAAGGGAAGACTTTGGTGTTGTTAGATTGCTCTGTAAAATGTTGTAGGTTCTTCACAGTACATTGTGAAGTGCCTTAAAGATGACGTAGGTTGTGAACTGGCACTATATAAATAAAACTGAGCACATTAGATCGATTAGATTCTCCACAATTCAGCCTCTTATTTTTGCCAATAACGTAAAAATTCCATTAAGAGGGGTGGATGTTAAGAGCTTTAAAAGAAGGTAGCCGAAAGTAAAATCAATTGCAAGTTTTTAGGTTATCATTTATTTATGTTAATCATCTGCTAGTGGTCGATTGCGTACATGTTTTTCATTTTCAGATAAACAAAACGCTTATGTGGTTTTCCAGTTAGGCTGACCAGTGTTTCAGTAATGTGAGATGTGTCTGTTACACAACTAAAATAGACGCTTGAGGCCTCTCAGGTATGGACTTCAGTCTGAAGAGGCTTCTTGATAAACTTATTGAATGCAGACGAGGCATTCATAAATAAAGGCCCGAACATCTCTCGGAGCCTTATTGGTCTTTAAAATGTAGGAAAAATTATGAAAGTTTGACCTTGCAGAAGTCTTTACAATGAACCAATGAGGAATTGTAACTGTCAAGTTATAAATAAGCTGTCCGTTTTGTCCTTCTCTGCGAGAGAGAAGAGCTGCTAGACAAATTCAGTCTCTCTCCCATTTGCAATGGAATAAATTTATCAACAACTCGGCAAAGTGTTTGGTTAATTATTTAAGGTAATAAGATTTATGATAGTCATTTCCCCTACAGCTGCTGCGTTCAACAGACTTCTATCATCTGTAGAATTCTTGAGAATTTAGAGTGCAATAATAGCTGTATATGGAAAACAGGAACTGCAAAAATAAAAGTTCTCACATACATCAACAACTTTACACCTGTGGGTTAAAATGTGTTAATGCTTTCCAACACCTCACAGAGAGCAACAAGACACTGCAATAATGGTTGCATAAGCATGTCGATAAAACAGCGAAAAACGCACACACACTGGAAAATAGTTTTTGGAAGGTATATTAAGATATTTATCAAGCACAAGGGAATCACTAAACTACAGCGTACAGTAATTATGAACAAATTGCTTCACCTATCCCTCAAGGAAAAACACTATGGAGCATTTTAATGGAAGGGTCAGAGCAGAACAGCTCGCAGCAGCAATCCTGAAGAAGGCAGAGTTTCGGAGTCTACTGTAATATATTCTATTATACCCCAAGCCACAATTTGATCCCATTACATAATTAGACAGAGACTACTGAGTTAGAGAGGCTGTAAAATAGATTGTGTTGGCTGCTTCACAAATGAGGTTAAGGTCATATATATGCCACAGACCACAGCACTGACTGAGCTGATTTAATTCAGCCTTCGAAAGAAATAATAATGTCTTATGTTCTTGTTTTGTCTGTTCAGATAAACAAAGGCTAAGCAGAACTTATGAAAAACAACTTGAGGAAGTGCTACTTAATATGCATATTAGTGTGCATGCAAATGAGTGAGCCACATCCACCCACGAGGTGTATTATTATGCATTATTAACATATGCAAGCAACAGAGGATACACAAGAGAAACCACAGAAGTCAACACATGCATACAATCACACACACACACACACACACACACACACACTGACTTTCTTCTCTGGTACCTGTGGCTGTGATCTGTGTGGGCTCTAACGCCCCAATGTTGACACAGTGCTTTCCTGCCACATTACACCTGACGACAGTCTGCTGACTGTCTCCACAGAGCCAACACTCCGGGTAAAGGAAGGCATAAAGGAAGCACTCCAGTGGCAGGGACCTGTCCACCGACTAAACGCTCAACTGGCAGCGCAGCTTTTCACTGTCACCACCCAGCCAGAGTCAGATAACAAGTAAAATAGAGCCTCCACCAGTGAGGGCACAGAAGACGTGCGTCTGTGTGTCTCTGTCATAGGTGTGAGTGAAGATAAAAAAAGACGCTGCAAAACTACAGAAACTGAGTCAAGATCTTTGGTCTTGATAGATATGTCCAGTTTGGGGAATTACTAAAGTAAAAATAGATCTCTAACTTCAAAATCAAATCAAATCAAATCAAATCAAATCAAGTTAATTGGCATTTTGCTGTACATACACAGTAGTACAGGCAAGATGAAAGAGCGTTTCCTCACGATCATTTCATTATTAAGTTTTGCGGAATGAACGTCTGGAATAGGTAAGACACTCAAAACATGCATTTTCGTTGTCTCCTGAAGGGGCTGCTGCGTCTATGCATGCCGCCATCACATGGCAACATATATATGTGTGTGTGTGTGTGTGTGTGTGTGCTTGGGTATATTTGAATAATCTTTGCTTGCAACAACTACGGAGCCTGTTAATCAGACTGAATTGCTATTTCGTTTCATTTTAGCTATTCAGACTGACTTTGACTCAATTATACCCCATTTGTTATTATCTTTATCCAGGTAGCTAATAAGTTAAGCAGCAAGATGACATAGATATTAGAGCCTGGCCACTACTGGATTTTCAGGGCTAGTATTGATTTTAGGAAATAAGAAATTCTGACATTGATATATGGGTCTATATTGTTTGTAAATATGCTACAATATTATCGAGAAGATAAAATGATGGAGTCATTTGTTGAAATTTCCAGCTTTGGATTTCACAAACTATTAAGCAGCTTACTTAGACAAAGACAAAGACCAAGTTTGACTCCTCGGCCCCATCTGCTCAGTGGTGATGTGTCCTCTGATACATGTGCTTTGAGAATTATAAATAGTTTAGTCAGAGATGCTCTGCTGGACAAACTATTTGATGACACAATGTCTAAATTATGCACAGAACCTTTTTTCTGTATTGTGTTCTGTAAAAAAAAAACATATATAATAATATCTGCCAACTAATATATCAATCAGGCTCTCGTAGATCTTAAGGCGTCTACAAAACTGTAAGTGGTCGACTGTTTCTCTAACTATCTAACACAGCCGTTTCTGTCCACAACATCAGAGCTATATGACTTGCCAAATAAATCAGAGATGTGGGTGGAAACTCAGGGGTGTGAAACAAGGTTCAAAGTGCCTTTTGTCCACTGTCAGCTAGGATAGGCTAAACCGGGTACAGATAATTGATGGGGATACTGTGTCTTGATGAATTCTAAATTTTTGAGTGTCATTTTATTTTTTTGCATTTTAAATGAAACAGTAACACAGCTTCTATAATCTTTGCAATAGCTCTTCAGGGATTATTAAACTTCTTATTTTCATTACCTGTTAATCAATAATACTCCTCTATAGATGTAGTCAAAGTACAAGAGGCAGTTCTTTAAAGACAGGAAACATCTTACTGCAATTATCCACCAAAGCACTGTGTTAACACTCTCTCTGCACTGCATAAACTATACGGCTGACTTTGCCCTGCTGATTATGAGGGTCAAAAGATCATGAATTAATGACCTCAGAGTCAGAAACTGAAGCATGCTTCTTCCTGCAGGCTTATGCCACATAGTGTCATGAGCAGCACTGAAGCACCGTCAGGGAGGCACGTTTTAAACTTTGATGTCTGAACTGCACATTCACATGAATATGGAATGATTCTGCTTCCTATTCACTCAGCCCTGCAGAGCTCACACAGTGGGCAGGGAAAAAACACATCAGGCTGGATTTGAAATAAGCCTTAGCGAGTGTTGGTATGTCTTCGGCATGGTGACACAGGTGTGTTTTCTGCTACTTCTGTACAACATAGCTTAACACAAACACACCTGTGTGAGCTCCTGCTGCTCCAGTTCCCATTTCTTGATGCCATTGTCTCTTGAGCCGCTGAACAGCACGTCTCCCTGTACGGCCAAACACTCGATACCGTCGTAATGTGGAGGCTCAAAGTTGTGAGCCGGACCCACGTTACCCATAGTTCCCTCTGCTACGTCAAACACCTGAGGAGAGTAGAGGAAGCAGATAGCTATAAACCATGTGTCTGCGTCTGTGACTTATAATTTGATGATACTTTGAGTTTGGCAGCCAGATATTGTCTGAGTGTGTGTGTTACCTTGACGTAATGGTCTTTGGAGCCAGTGATCACTTGGTCTTTGCCCAGCAGAGACTGTCCCACCGTCAAACACATGACGGAGCCAATGTGGCCCGTCAGCTTCCCCATCGCTTGCATCCTGCACACACGCACACACACACACCAAAGCAGATGAAGCAAAGGTCTGTGAAATTCATTACTTACAAGAGTCTGATTTTCAAGGTGCCCGTGTCACCGAATGAAATCACTTTCCGTCTCACGAGTGAAGTAAAACTGCTGAGACACGACGATGCCATCGGCAGAGATGATACTGGAGAAATGTTTAATACATTCATTTTTCATTTCTGGGGGCTTCTTATGCATCATTAAACGGTTCTGAGCCTCTCAGCGTAAACTGTCTGGTCCAATCTGTTAATCATTTCCCCCTTGAAGCATAAAAACTGAGGAGAAGACCACGGTACCAAGGGACACTAGAAATAGGTTCCTTGTAGAAAACATCAACATACTACAGTGCTGCACTATTTTACATTTTTTTTAATCTCTTCTGTCAGATGTTAATCAGCTGTCTGGTTTATTACCAGACAGCTGATGAATGAAGGCACATCCACAGCCACATCTCAATTAATCTAAAGATGGCTGAAAAGAAGAAGAAGTGCATGAATGAACCATGCATGAATGTAAGGATGAGTAAACATATAAATCAGAGAAGGAATTGATTAATATTTCAACGCGCGACTGACAGCTACTTTAATCAGCGACTGGATTAGTATGTCAGTGAATAAATTAATGACTGAACAAATGTACCTGTTGAGGTCCCACATGCGAACAGTGTTTCCAGCTGCAGCATAAAGCACAGATCCTGACGGGTTGATCGCTATCTGGTTGATCTGACACTCGCCCTGAGCGAAGGTTATTGTGCGAGTGGTGGTGCCGGCACATGCATCACCTGAAACCACCTGCCCTGATGAACTGTGGGGGTAAAGAAGAAAGCAAACAGCGTAAGAGAGGCTGAGAGCGGAAGAAAGTAGTACGAGGCATATGGAAGCAAGCGCAATGAGCAGAATTTACAGTTGTAATTTACTCTAAATGCATTTCACATCCAAATTCTCCATTGCATTTGTCACTTTTCTCCAACCTGAAGCACATTAAAAAGCATCTATATACATAACTCCCATCGAATCTCTCCTCAGCTGCAATTTCTTGGCTTAGCAGCTCTGAGCCGTTCCATGTGGCTGGCTTCAGGGAAGAAACTTACGTGAGCGTGCGGATACACTTGGCAGAGTCGCGGATGTCCCACACCTTGATGTAGGAGGTGGAGACAGAGAACACCAGGCAGGAGGAGGGGCAGTATTTGACCGACACAACGTTGTTTGGGTGACCTTTGAGGGTGACGATCTCCTGACCGGTTACCAGGTTCCACATCTTGCAGGTACGATCTGAAGGAGAAAAGTGGAGATGTTCAAGTGCTGCGCGCTGCAGAAGCAGTTTGGGTTGACGCTTACACACATGAAGTCATACAAAACAGAACAGCAGATTGTATCTTTGCTACTATTTGAGCTACATCTGCAGCATAACTTCATGTATGATAAAACTAATCAGTTGGTCCGTGCACAACACAAGCTCATTACATTAATCACTATAAAATTCAACATTCAGTTTCCCCAGAGGATCGATCCTACTGACTTTTTCTCTATTAATAAAGTAAGAATTTATTCGATTTCGAGTGAATGTCTCCAGAACTGGCCGATGATCTGCTACAACATTTAACACAGCCATTCATATTTTCCTTTTGATAAATTGTAATAACGCCAGTGATCCCTAAACCACTTAGCCTCATCATTTTGTTCAATACCACATGCCTGCAAAATTAATAACATTCTCATCAGTCTCAGTTGCACTTTGCGTTTGGTGCTAATTAGCAAAAGTCAGCATGATAATACACAAAATTAAAACTGTGTCAATGGTAAAAAAAAAAAAAATGAAATCAGCACGTTAGCATTGTCACTGTGAGCACATTGCAGTTGCACCTGAGGTTAGTCCTAAACTCAAAACACCGCTGCACATCCTCACATAGCTGCTTGTTGCTACAAGTTTTGTTCTTTGAAATCAAACTTTTAATATACCTTCTAACAAAAACAGACAGGGCTCTATTTATATTGAAATAAACAGTTGTGCAACACTTTAGGAATTCGAGGGTAAGATTAGAACATGAATACCACTCTCCTGTATGTGTGTTGAAGATGGAGCTAGAGACAGCTTAGCTTAGCATAACTTAGCTTAGCTTGAAGACGGGAATAAGGGTAAACAGCTGGCTCTTTCGTAAGCTCCAAAGTATGCCTACAAAACCTCAACAATTCAGTATTTAACATGCCATACCCTTTGAAATCTACTGTATATGCAGTTGTTGCATATTTCTTGTTTACACATTTCTGTTTGTGTGTTCAGTATATTATAAACAATTTACAAGGCATTGATCTGCTTTAGAGGCGCTGACATTCTTTGTGCCGAGCTGGGCCAGGCGCCTCTTGGCTCCAGCTTCCTATTTAATGCACAGAGTGGCATCAATCTATTCATCTCACTCTGAAAGAAAACTAATTGGCACATTTGCTGAAATGTTCCTACACAGTGTAATTATTTTATGATGGCCGGCTTTCCATTTAGTCGGTAATATAAGTAAACAATATCGATTGAAAAGATGATACAGGCCCTGCGAAACACATTCTAAAGGAAGGCTTAACATTATATTTATTGATGCGAGTACCTTTAGATCCGGTGAACAGCAGCTCATCTGTAGCATCCACGCACAGAACCGGCTTTGAATGGCCTTCAGCAACAGACACGCACTGCAGGGGCGCCGTCCGACCCCCCTTCACACCCCCGATGGGATTGATCACACCCCTACAGTTCACAAACATACATACAGGGTCACCGTCTCTTCAGCATAAATCGCTAAAGATGATTTCAACCTACACATCTACAGTGAATGAGACACTGATCACAGACATGCACACAGAAACACAAATAAAGAAAATACAAACCTGTACACATTAATTACTCTCTGTTGTGTCTCCATCACTTCAGACAACATAATGTTGATTTAAATTAATTTCACTGAAACTTACCGTGATCACAACCATCACTACTGCTTCCCTGAATCTAATCTTAAGCTAAGCCTTCACTCTAAAATTTATTTTACAACGGGCACCTAAAAAAAGCCGTGCTGCAAAAAATGTGATTGTGTAAACTAGGGGTGTAACGGTACACAAAAATCACAGTTCGGTACGTACCTCGGTACAGAAGTCACGGTTCGGTTCACAGTTAAGGGGAAAAATTTAACAAAAAATAAACCTGCTCATAATTAATCCAAAACATTTGTTTATTGTATTGAACCAAAAAGCTGTTAGCATCTCAGTAAATCTAATTAAATGTACAATGCATACAAATGTAACAGAAATACTGCTGCATCGTTCTCAATATCAAATAAACAAAATAAAATAGATAAAAGTACAATTGCAGCTTATTGGTCTGCTGTAAATAGAACTGCACAAACCTCCACTAAACAGCTCATTTCCACCATATTGTGATCTCCAGCAAGTTCTGCATTCATTGGATCTACACTATTAGATTCATGGAGAATCAAAACATAGCTCTAGCATTTAAATTAACATTGATATCATCAATAACAAGCTGACAGGGTGATGAACAAATATTTTGTAAACTTACGTAATTTCTGCAGTTACTTACTGGCTTTAAGCCGTTAGCTAACGCTATGCTAGGTTGACATAACTACAGCGATGTTGTTGCTAACACAAACAGACAGGTAACAGGAACTTAAGCTAGGTTAGCATAACTTTAGCAATGCAACGTAAATGAAAAGCATGACCCACGCAATAAAGCACGCGCCAGTCGTCATGATTCATGGCAAAGACATTTAAAGTAAAACAGGAGACATGCTGAGTCATTGTTAATGTCACAACATGGTTATGAACTGATCTGTCAGTAGCTCAGCCCACTCCTGTGATGCTGCCTGGCTGTAGCTTACTCATGTACTGCTGAGAAGACAGCGGTGAGGACTGAATGGAGTCAGAGCTCCAGCACAGTAACAAACTGCACAATGTTTTGCACAGTTCATTTTTTTTTCTTGCAACGGGCAGTTACGCTTGGATGCTGCCTTTTCAAACGAGTGTGTAAGTCTGACGTGTTGCCGAATGCATAGCTGAGGACCGCTTCACAATGTGGACATACGGCTTGTAGACTTGTTTTTCTCCTTTTTCGGACTTCACCAGGAAACCCAAGTGATCCCAAATGGGTGATTTTAATGACACCGGAGCGTCTTCCAGCTCTGACTTGTTGCTGTTGTTGTTAGCATTAGCCATCCCATTCGCTAGCCATACAGACCGGGCTTATAAGGAAGTGCCGAGAGGAGAATAAACGGTCCGTCACATCTACAACTGTGAGCCAGAGAAGGTTCACCGCAACTGTGGGCACCATGAGAGTTAAAGTTTCACGATTGAAACAATTCTGCACATTGTCCATTCTTAATAGTCTCAAAATGTTTGTGGTCTGTACCGAACCGAAAGGGCCTGTACCGAACGGTTCGGTACAAATATGTGTATTGTTACACCCCTAGTGTAAACAGGTTTATGTCCACACAATATGCTCAACAAAAACATCCGCATACTCCTGCTGGTTGAAGCTCACCTGCTCCATCTGTGCTCTTTCTGCCCTCCTCCCTCCTTTCTTTTTGTCATGGAGCAGCCCAATTAAGGCACTACAGTAAGAGCTGCTTTCCTATTCAGGTTGTCTTTCTGTCTCTCCTCTCTCTCTCACACACACACACATTCATGTATACACAAACACACACACACACACACACCTTCTTCTATATTATGTGCACTCAATCTCTCTAGCTGGAGCGTTGCCCCCCGCCCTCGCCCCAATCTATGTCCCACTGACAGCCCATAGTCCCAGAGTGCCTGGAGAGCAGTCAGCAGAGTGAGACAGAGCAGAGAGAGGGTGAGAAGAGGAGGTAAGGGCTGTGGGAAAATTGGTCCCTGGTGGGCTTCACCAATGGCCGTTAGTGTGTGTGTGTGTGAGAGCGTGTGTGAGAGTGAGGTAAAGAGAGCAAAAATACTGAGGGAGAGAAAGTGGATGTGAGGAGGGAGGAAGAAAACCCGTGATTACACACAAAATTCTGGACAGATTTGTCTCTGCACAGCAAAAATACAAAAGGGTGAAACTTGTCAAGGATGGCAACATGCTTGTCCACTGTGCCTGCATGTACGCTGAAGACACAGAAAAAAATACACATCAAATCAAAAAAACCAAACACTTAACCAGACTTTCTATGTATCGTTTTTAACGGTGCATAAAAATGCCAACCAAAATCAAAAGATGTCCATCACACCAGCCAGCGGAAAAAAGGCTGCATGCACGTTTTGCTAAGTTTCATAAAAACACAAAAGAGAACTGACTTGCACAGAATAAGCTCAAAACAATTGTGTACAACAGAATGGTGGACCAACTCCACAGCAGCCTCAAAAATAAACCCCAGCACAGCGTCCTGAGATGTCATCACCACCACATGCAGCATCCATTCAGCTGGGAGCTGAATCTCAGCACCTCCACAGCCAATCACCTTTTAGGGACCACTTAAAAGGCGATGTAGGTAAGTTAAGAGATGTAACGAGCCAATGGCATAGTCAGATTATCGGCTGTGAAGCAGCGATGGCAGGTGTATGCAGCGAACACAGCATCACGTGCAGTCTGTCCCGCCCTCACTTTAGTTCAGTCCCATTTTAGAAAGTCTGATGATAGAAAACTGCGCATTTCTTTCATTAAAAACAGAAAAGCATACATGGAAAAATCTTCATTTAATTTGTACTAAATGCAGAAGTGAGGGGAAGCAGCGTTTTAAAAATATTTTTAAAAAGTTTGGGTGCAGTTTCAGTTAAAAGAACCTTATCACTCTTGATGCTTTTAACCCAATTATGTTGTCTGATTAATGTCTTATGCTCCATTTAGTTTGATTAAAATGGAAATTCCCAGAGCAGTGAGTCACATTGTTTTCCTGGAGTTGAAACTAAAATATGTTCCTTTAAAATAATAAAAAATTACATTGATATATTAACAGAACCTGTACAAATACACATCTCTAAATCAAGCTACTCTATTTACCTGCCAAGAAGCTATTATGTTTTTTTCTTTGTGTTTTCTCTAAAATGGACATACGGCACAAATGACAATGCTGCTTAATGTGGCTCTCTTGTTCTTGCAGCGGTGTGATGTTCCAAATGGCAGAAATTATTCCAATTCTATCAGCGCCTGTGGACGATATCATAGTGTGCGGTGCTATGCACTATGTAAGAGCTGCTAATGGATGTTGCAGGGCCAAGACCCAAGAGACCAGCACTAATGAAAACATGGAGGGAGATCAGCATGTGCTCTCTGCAGTACATAGAAAAACAGACAGAAGGGCCTTGGTGAGAGGGGTATCTATTTGTGTGTGTGACAGAAATAGAAATGACTGATCCAAACGAAGAGGAGAAAATTCTGTTTGTGCCTTTATTTTTTTAAACCATATACTGGTTGTCTTAAGAAACTAAATCAGCACATCGGAAAATATGCTCATTTGCTTTTTAGCTAAATATGAAGCCTTAGCTAGCAGCCAGTTAGCTTAGCTTAGCATAAAGTCAGCAGACAAGTGAAAACAGCTAGCCTGGCTAACTCAGACTGACAACATAGTTACCTGGGTCGAGAAATATTACGTTTTTTTTGTACAGATTAAACCAAAAAGATGTCTTTGGACAGAGCCAGGTGAATACAGGTTGCTACCATCATGACTGCTGTAAAGGGTTGGGCTGGGCCATATATATATAGAGAGAAAAAATGTATTGCAACAACTTAATTTTAGTTGATATTGATAATTATTGATCATTTTTGATTACCTTTTCTTTTTTTCTTTTTTTTTAAATAACGACCAGCAGAATAAGGTTTAATTTGGATTGAACCGTCTTACTTTGGGTGTAACCACTTTAGTCTTTTTAGTTTTATCTTATTATCAAGGTACATACGTAATCATTTTTCAGATAACCAACACACATTAATAAATATTAAATAATCAAAGTAAGGACGCATGGAGGGCGACCAGGGTGAATCTAATGTACTCTGCTGAGGTCCCAGTATCACCTAAATAGGGATCTGGTGCAGACATCCCAAGAGGAGGCTGCCCAAAGCGCACCAGTTGGGTGGAGGTGATGGGACACAGGGTTGTGGGTGTTTTTAGACCAAGAGGCCCGTCTCACAAGGACAACCGTTGCTCTCCACTAAATAAATAAATGGGGGTGACAAGAGGCGAAGGCGACTGCGATCTAATGTACCTCAGAAGACCTCCATGGAAGTGTGTTCACTCAACAGAAGTACAGTATGCGTCTTTGTCGTGGGTCTTCATGTCAGTTTGCTTCTAATGCATTTGTTAAGTGAAACTACCAGACAGTTTATCAAGTTATTTTTTTTATATTGAAAACAGCTTTTAATGAAGTGTCTATTGCTGGTTCATATCGCTATCATTTTATCATCCAGGCCTAGTGCTGTTTAATGCCTCTGTCCAGACATCTTTCACAATTCTGTTTGTTTTTTTGTTTTTTTAAATAAACTTATATACTTTATTTGTGCTGCAAGAGCCACCACTACCCCAAATTAAACGAATCCAGATGATATGAGTCGCATTGCTTTTTATTTTCTTAATTGTTGATGATGTTGTTGTGGAGCTCTTTGTAATTAAATGTCTGTCCTCAGTTCTGTCTTTTTCTGTTGTGGTTGAATTTATCTGACAGTTGCCAGCAGACACAAATAATTTCTAAGAGGACTAAATATCTGTTTCCCCTTTTTCTCTACTCCCTTTGTTGAGCTAACTGGCTGCTGAGTTCAGCTACACAATCTTCTCATCTGATTCCACATAAAGCAAATCAGCATATTAACCAAAATTTCATCCTATTCCTTGAAGCTCATTGTAATAATTGTAACTCCAATCCTGCAGTTTTTACAGAAACTGTAGCCACTTGTGTGACTTACCATGTTGACCATACAGGTGATTAATCGTTTGCATTTGCACCAATTTCATGTCTGTTTTTCTACAGCCTGAAAAAAAAAAGCTGTATAATTCATTCAGGTCTTGCATGTGACTGCAGAGAAACACCACATCACAGAGATAGAGAAGCCCGGCGGGTCAAGAAAGCCACCTGTGGTTAAAACATGCACCACAGCGACACCCCCCATGGAGGAATAAAAAGGAGGAGGTGGAGAGTTCAGGCGAGGCACTGACTGCCGGTGGAGACGAGATGACACCAAGTTAGTTAACAGGCAAATGGGAAAACAGAGAGTGACAGACACAGTTCCTCTACCTGAGCACCTCGGAGAGCGAGGAGTCGCTGTCATCCGACCTGGAGGCAGAAGAGGAGCAAGGGCAAAGGAAGGGAAGGAGGGAGGAAGGAAGGGGGGAGAGGAAAGGGTTAACCACGCTAAGAAAAGAGAAGGGTTACTGGCAAAGGGTTAAAAGGGAGGAGTGACTAGTGGAAGGGTTTTAGATACAAAGCAGTGAGCAAACTGGCAGGAAAGCTCAGTCAACAATAAAGCTTGTCCAGTGATTATCAGGCAGCTCAGAAATCTTCTCAAAGCACTGAACAGGCTGTATTCTTTGACCAGTGTCTGCAGATATAAGGAGCATTTCCTTTCCCCCCCCTTTGGTGTTATTGGGCAAATATTAAAAGTTAAAGGTTTCAAGAAGTAGTTTGATGTTTGAGGAAATGCAGTTACTCACTTTCTATCCAGGAGATGAGAAGATTGACACACAAATCCGCCCACAAACTCCTCAAAGACTCATTTTCTTAATCCATACAAACAGATATATAAGACTATGTACTGGAGCATTATTCTGTTTTTGCAATCTGTTTGGATTAAAACAAACAAAATAAAACCTGTTGATTAGTAAGCTTTAGGTGCGTTTAGGTACATTTCAACACCTTCTGATAGAGTGTGACCAGCTGTTATCTTCAGTTAAGCTTCCAGCTGTGGCTGCAGCTTCATAGCGAGTGTACAGACATGAGAATGGTGTCAGTTTTCTCATACAACGCTCTGCAAGAAAGAAAACAAGTGTATTTCCCAAAATATCAAGCGTGTCTGTTTCAACAAAGCAGAAACTGAAAGAGAAAAAGGGACGTAGCCAAGGAGGGAGCACTGATACAGTCGCACACAAAGGTCACAAAGCTGCACATTGAAATTTCTACACATTTCTGCCCTTTACGTACGACTGTGATGACAGTGTTCCCTCCTGAATCTACTCTTTCCAGCCATATTCAGGGAAATTAGTACAGAAAAGGTAAACGGGACGGAAACAGGGTTAACAGAAGGGAAAGTCCATTTGAGTGGAGGACAAGGGGAACAAATCCAGGCCACGCCCATACCTCTAAGATCGCTCAAAGGGAAATGCTGATATATGTGTAATAGTGCTATAAAAGTGTTATTATATTGTAAATATTTTACAGCCTCAGGTTTGTCACCATGAAGGCATTCGCTTTTCACTCTGAGCATGAAATAATAAAACAAAGCGCTGCAGTTATGTCTGCAGGGAACAGCAGAGTGAAAAGGTCATAGAAATTCCTGCATTTCTTGGTATTTACTGCCAGCCGTGGTGGCTATTAGCACAGTGCTATCTGACTCTCGACACAAAATCCTTTTAAAATTCATTGGATTTTTGAGGATGCAAATGGAAAGTGAATTAAAAAAGACAGATCTAGTATTCAAAGGTTCTTCATCCAAGAGATAACAAGAAAAGTTTTTTTGTTTCTTTTATATTCATCTTCTTCATTTTTCATTTGCCATATAAATTTTTGTTTAACATTTGATCCCAGACTCGGAGGCAAATAATCTACTCAGAGAAGCAGAATACAGTTCATTTACAATTACAAAAACATCTTGTCGAATTTTAATAGGTTTTCTGAACTTGTAAAGATGTACTAAAGAACACAGCTATCTTTATCTTTGCACAGAGGGCAGCTTCTCATTTGACATGCAGTTACAATTCATGCAGACGATTCATACTGGCTTTCTATTTATTTTTTTAAATAAATTCCCTACACTTGGCTGTAAATTTATGCTTGTGGTGATGAATTAAGTGTCAGAGTTAGGTCATTGATGTTAGGACAACAAAACCAAATTAAATGAAATGATGGTTTAAATGATAAATCTTGGGTAAAAAAAAATAAAAATAATGCTGTATCCAGTGATCACTTCCGTAAACAACACTTTACACCATAAATACCTCACAAACAATAGTGCCATGAATCAAAGCACAACAATGTAACAACTGCCTGCAAGCACAGATTAAAGGAAAAAACCTCATACGATTTACCCTCGTGCATGATGCTCTATAGGAAAGTTTCTCCTGTGGGAACCTTATAAAAGCCTGAACATAAAAATCCTCCAACACTGAGTTAATTCAAAATGGCTACCAATAAAAACAGCTGCATGGAAAGATGACAGGAGCCATATCATTTACTTCCCCCTGGTCCAGATAATGAGGACCCACAGGGTCCAAAGAACACAGCACATGCAAATATTAATTATTAATGGATACAGCACGCACACACACAACCACAACATCCTAACTCATTTCATAGAGCATCCTGGCAACAATTAGGGTTTGATAAAGCTACAAAAAAAAAATAAAAAAATGCTCTGGATTAATGAAGACCACAAAACAAACAACTTCAAAGCAGCGGCAAACCCTGACTGAAATTATCTGTTGACATTTGTCAAAGGTGAAAGTTGGAATTGATTGTGAGCAGGAAGGAGAAAGACGAGCTTCTCATTCCAAAAACTCAGATACCTCTCAGTTGACATTAACATGCATCTCGTATCCACATTATCCCTCACTCTGATGCAGCAAGATTACACAATTACATGCTGAGAGCTGTTTACAACGTTCTTATACCTTTATGTATGCAAACAGGGTGAAAAAACAACGTCGGAAACGGGCAGATTCAACACCACAACTAACTACAGCCTCAAAAATAACCACGTGTTTGAATGAAATTCTGTCTGGGGTGCTGTCAACAAACCTTAATATTATGAGATTAGATTAATTCCAAGGCTGTTTATGTTAGATTATGTAAGATTGTACAAGATGATTTAGCTTTCTTTTGCCAAAATGCAGATAATGTCCATCACTGTCATGCAGCCCTTCTAGAATACTATACAGCGCCCTCCATAATTATTGGTTAAGATGTGTTGCTTCTAGTAAATTCATTTTTTTTCTAAATAAAATAAGACCACAATGAAAAAAAAGAGGAAAATTAAACCTTTAATTCAAGTGCATTTATTCAGTGTGAAAAAAAATCCCACATTAAAAAATAATTATTTTACATCAAATCATGTGTGCCACAATTATCAGCACCCTTGATGTTCATACTTTGTACAACCCCCTTTTGCCAGCAGTTCATCTGAGTTGAGTTGAAGGTTACATTTTTCTACAATTTTCAGTGTGAGAGTATGCTTCTGCAATAAAAATTGAAGTTATTTTAAGGCTTTTAACACATCTTAACAAGGGTTGCCAGTAATTATGGAGGGCGCTGTACCTTCTCAAACCACATCCTGCTCTGGTGGCACATTTCCACAGAGGACGTTTGTTTCCTGGTAATTTCTATATATTGAACAGAAGCTCACTGCAATCACACCTTGTTTTCATTGTTACTAACTGCAGGTTTGATTAGCTTGTGGTTTCGATGATCTGTTCTTTGCTGCCTGTAAGCGCATTTGAAACCTGGATTCTGGAACTGTTTGCACCATCTGTCCCTCCGGGATCTGTATTAATGCCAGAACAAAAGTTTTTTTGTCTGAGAGTGGGATTCATCTGAAGATACACAGGCGGAATAGCACGTTTCCTTAAAAGCCTCATTAAAACTACCGACAAAAGCACTTTCCCTGAAAAAAAAGGCCTGACCTTCAGCCTTTCTACAGGACCAGTGAAGACCTTATAAACCATGGAGGAGAAGAAAAGAAAGGAAAGGTTCAGAGTGCAACTGAATTGATTGGGTGAGAATGTGGGGACAAAAGGACACAAGCAGTGCGTGTATCAATGCAAGGTTGCACTCACTTGTCCAGAGCAGAACCTTGGGTTTGGTTGCTGGTGAGCCTTGAAAAGACGTTGCGGTCGTTCCTGGTCCTCAGAGGAGGGGAGGAAGGGGGAGTGTAGCCATCAGTGGGCCTGATAAGGAGCAGGAAGGAAGGTGGAGGTGAAAACGTGTGAATGACAACACCACAACTAAATTACATCACACAGTCAAACACATGTGATCCATCCACGAGCAAAACACCTTGAATTTGAGCGTTGCGTGTACCTGTATGCGCGGTCGTAAGATTTCCTTCTTGTTAAAGGGGAAGTTTCATACCCCCGAGACTGCCTGGGACTGACACACACACACACACACAAACAAAAGCAAGCAAACTAAGCAGACTTTCAAAGCACTGCACAACTGACCAGCATAGAAGAATGACATCTACAGTGTGCAAACTGATGGGAGTCTATTAGGGTTTTACGCAACTTAACAGCATTTCTTCAAATATCCACTTACACACAGCAGGGTCTCCCTATGCTTTCCTCCTTCTTTAAAGCAGATTTATAACCAAAGAAATGTTTGTGTTCTAAAATCCATTGGCTGATAAAATAGGCACAACAAACTGACATCTTTGTCCCAGGAAAGAATTTGTAAAGAGAATTTTTTTTAAATCTTTCATTGATACTGACAAATATTAATATATTAACAGAACAGGAATTACAATTTGATAAAAGAAATACACTGTTTGTCCACATATCAGGTGCATTAAACTATTTTAGCTAAAGAAGATGGTGGATTAATGATAGATTAGCTAAACGTTACAAATAAAACTCCAATAGTCGTGTAAATGTAGCAGAAAAATAGCTGAAACTGTTCTCTAGAAGTTTGCTGACGGAATTAAAAGTATTGTGTTAATGAACAAAGTGTGCACCTAAAAGTAAAGTCACAATGGTGTTGATGAAGGCCTACCACCCATCACCCCTCCCCTGAAGAATACATGTAGTCTTCATTTCTTCTCAGTGATCACTATGATTTGTCACTACTGTAAATAAAATCTTCATGACTTACAAGGTGTGTCCTCTGACAGGCAGGCTGATGGTGCGGGACGCCCGGTCCCTGTGGTAAGGGTCTCGTAGAGCCAAGCTGAGCCCCAGACTTCCTGTAACAAGACTCAAGCCATCCTCTTGGATGTCCGTCAGTGAGGCCAGAGACTTGGTGATGTGCTGTGGCTTGCTGCCCGACGTTGGGTCCAGGATGGGACCCAGGTACTCCGCAGACACCGCCTTCATCTGGGCTGACAGACGAGGCTCTATCTGGGTGAATGATGGCAAACAATTTGTGTTACAGACAACCAGAGAGAAAGGAGGACAGTGGGATAGAAAAAACGAAGGCATTAAATAAAGGTAAAGACTGCATTTAATTAAGACTTAAGAGGAAACTAGGATACAGCTTGAAAATATCTTTCAGCAAAGGAAAGTGCAAAGAACATGAAGCAGTGGAAACACAAGCTAGAAGCCTCTAGGTCAGTCTTCTAGGTCAGCCATTCTCATGTCAAACAAAGGCTGGATAGAGAAAAAACTAAAATCAATAAAGATTACAGATTAGAAAGCACAGAATCAACAAGCTGATCAGAAGGAATGGTGTCAAATCTGACACTCTTCCAGCACCAAGCTTTAAGAGGAAGATATTTTTTAAGTGTTTGCTTGTACTGCCACCTCATGGTTGCAAACAAGAATGACAGATACACCGAAAAACAAACTGCGGCATGTGTGTGACACTAAAAATTGGGCCAAGGGTTGAAACACAGCCCGCCCAGTAGTTTTACTCGCTTGATCCTGTACAGGGTCAGAGGGGGCTGAAGCCTCTTACAGCTGACATTAGGGAAGAGGTCGGGTGCAGCCCAGGCAGGACAGGAGATGTCTTGTGCTACCACCTACTGCCAGCTTAGAATCATCACACAACTTAACATGTGTTTCTTTGGACTGTTGGAGGAACGTTGAGCACCCAGAGAAAACTCCCCACAGGAGAAACTCCACAAAAAAGCCAACCAGGAGTTCACACCAAGACATTTCTTGCTTGGAAGCAACAGTGCTAACCACTTCATCACTAATATCTGATAATATGCTGCGTCATAGTACTAATAAGTTCAGATAGTACAACTGTTACAGTGTTGTATATATGTATGTGATGTGTGTGTTTTTCTGTTCTTTAGGTTACATGCCCTGAGAAGCAGGTCCACGTGCACAAAAACAGTTTTTGTTACCCAACAAGTTTCCTATTTTTTAGTACCTGGTTTTTACAACATCATTTGTTACCCCTCTCATCTATTATTTTCACGGGGACGTACCAACAACACAGCAACCAAAAACAACAGCTATACCTTTAATTTGAAATCTTCTTGACTGTTAGATTCTTTCATCTGAGATACACTGGAGGGAAGAGAAAGAAGAAGTACAGAAATATAAACAAGTGTAGAGAGAAATGTTTTTACTGTATGAACATGTCTTTTCAAGCAAAAATTAAATAACGGATTGTAACACACTGTGGTACATTTTAAACAAGGATGGTCAGGATGAGAGGTGTTTTTTTTGCATTGAGGATGTTGGTTTAGCAGCAAGGCTCACCTGCTGTCAGAGGCTTGGCTGAACTCTGAGGGCTCCTCGTCTGTGCTGGCGTAACCGTTTTCTGGAAGCACACAAAGGACACAACCTGTCAGCCCACAGTACGCTGTACAGACAAAGCAACTGCTTTATGAGTGTCCATGAGCTGCAACCTCCTCCACTACCACATTTTCCACATTAATGTATGAGTTATTATATATGATTTAACCCAGATATGCTTCCACGCATCAAAACACTGCTAAAATGGCAGCAGGAACAAAAGGGGGAAACACTAAAACAAAACTGAACTTCATTTAGTGCAGTATTTAGATGCATCCACATGGTTTACTGAAAGGCAGTGGGGTTAAACACAGTTCAGAGCAAAAAAATGTGTTTATGTTTTCCTTCCCTTTTTAAAAAAAATAATAATTTCACTCGTCTCTTCTTTGTCAAAAGCAAAAATCATCGCTCACCTTGCTGTACATTGTGAATGAGAGCCTGGAGTTCAGGGATGTACTCTGCCTTTTCTCGCAGGGCATCAAGGATTATGTGATTGTGAGACGAGCCGATCACATCCGTCTGTCTCAGTTGGCCCTCCAGCAGTCGGATCTGAGTCTCCTTCTGAGCCACCTGTAAACTCTGGGCACACACAAAGACCAAACGCTGTCACAAATGAGAACACAGTACTGTAACACAAAACTTTTAGACAGAAAATTAGACTACCTAATAAATGAAGTGTTTCAATTCTGTGAAAGGTGTTTACTCATCTTTTGCATGGCAAAATACATCCATAACAAGCGCTTGTAGTACAAAGAGACAGCCCTCTTTGCCACTAGATGGCCCTGCAACCATTCACTGCATCCATGCTTGACACTTCTTGTAGACTACAGGTCTTTATGCAATTTAATCTTTTTACTTTAAGCTTCATATTTAAACCAGTGGACCCACATGTCATCTTCTCTTTGTTTATTTTTTTTTCCATTTACATAGATTTCCTGCATGATAACTCACCTTGTCAATAGAAGCCTTCAGGAAATGGTCCAGCAGGTGGCGTGCTTCAGCCAGAGAGCAGGAGCTGATCACCACTGATGTGTCCACTGAGTCCAGCTCATCCTGCAGGAAAACACACAACTATGTGTCACTGGAGGCGTCCTGTCACTTCTCACTGCTGGACAGTGGGTGTACAAGCAGCTGTGTGTATGTGCTTGTTTGTGTGTCTTCGTACCTTGGTCTCCTCTATCTGTACAATGGTGGCCTGGCAGTCAGACAGACTGTCATTGATGTAGTCTATATTGGCATTCAGCACCTCAATGTCCTCATTAATTTCCTGAAGGAGGCGGTCCTCAGCTTCGGGTCCTTCCCCCTCCGCCATCAGTACCTCCCTCTTATGTGAGAGTGCTTCCTGCTGGACCGTCAGCTCCTCTCGCTTCTGACTCATCAAAAACACAAATGCACACGCGGCAAAAAAAAAAAAAAAGAAAGAAAGAAAGAAAGAAAGAAAGTCAGTGCCGAACCTACAAAAACTTTGGGAATCAAGTAAAGGATAGGAACACAAAACGAGGAGAGGGATCTCTACATTTAGAATTCTGTGTTTGACTCACTACACAAGCTGAACACCTACATTTTGACATGTGCTCTGACAACTAGCCTGATGTCTGATCATCTTCAGATTTAAGAATGAACCAGACAGCATTTGATGTCAGGATTCATAAAGAGCAGACACAAGAAACAGGGCTCTACCCACTTCTACAAAAAGCGGTGTTTCTTCTCTGCTGTTTCGTTTTAACATCCACGAGAAAACGAGGAAGGAAGATGCTGACACTTGGTTTCGTTTTTAATCACCACTGCTGTGTTCCGTATATTTGCTTTGGTTACTTGTATCACAAAACATTAGAATTTTTTAATGTCCTCTCACATGATAAGGGTCATGTCATGGGAGAAGAACAAAACAGGAAATCCTGGGAGGTTTCATTTTATTTTGCATCCACCAAACCATCTAATTTCAGTAACAACCGAGACATTTTAGGCAGATCCACTGAAAGCGTCAGTGCCATTCCTACCTTGATAAGGCGATCCATGTCAGCCTCCACATTAGAGATGGTCATTCTCTGCATGACTATGTCCATAATGCGACGCTCCAGGGCTTGCCACTTCTGACGGGCAGATTTGGAGAAACTGCTGGCTCGGCCTGCGGCTCCAATGTTGCCAATGCCTAGTGGTTTACGCTGCAACTTCTTCCTACTGGTGGAGGAGAGGAGAGGAGAGGAGAGGAGAGGAGAGGAGA